CAAAGTGTCATGTCATAATTACATGCCATACCATACATATCAATCACCAAGCTTCCCTGATTAATTCAAATGAATTGGGGTCTTAGTATCCTGGATGCATGGTCATATATATTATCATAGAATACTGTCATCAACAAATAAATTTTGAAATATTCTGGATCAGACCTATTTGTTAAACAAATGTACTTTGTAGTTTGTATTGAATAATTGATGTCTTTTGAAAAAATGTTGGCAATATATATGCTCTTTTCTTCTTCTTCTTGACATTCTTATCTTTTATTTATTTATTCTTGAATTAATTATGGTCCCTATAAGTATTACTATTAATTAATGAATATGGAGAATGGCAGAAAAATGGGGGGGTCAGTTTTGTATTGTAACCCAGCGGGTTTCTTTTGAACCGGTCGTGAATCAATTCAACAATATTTATTCAAATTAAAGTGGTACCCACCATTCTTATATTTTTTTCAACAAACACCTCAATTACCCTTACCAACATTTCTTTGCTTTTATCAACTGAGAGCTCCATATGATTCTAGGGTTATTCAATCGATTCAGAGATTGCATTACCAATGTTAATTAACTGAGAAAGCTCTATATCTATCAGTTGAGAAATCTTTCGTTCAATCTTACCATCGCTGAAGTCGCAATCGTTCTCTATCGCCGTTGCTACTCTAAGCACCCTGGGAATAGGTAAGTCCCATTTTCTTCTTTTTCTTCACTTGGATTTTAGATCGATCCCTACAAATCTTACATCATTTTCAAATGATCCAACACTACAGGTCTAAGTATCTAGGAGACTTCAAGATTAATTCCTGCATTGAAATATAAACCTGTTATTAAAACACAAATTCTAAGGTTAAGAGAACCTTATTGTTTTAGAGATTTCTCAAACATTAACCTAAGCAGGTTAGTGCCTTTTTTTTTTAATCGGATTAGATTCTCTATGACTTATTTTCTAGCTATCAACATTTATCAAACAATAGCCCAAGTTCTTGTAAATTGGATTCGTTGTTTTCGTTTTCCGCTCAAGTTTAATTGGAAGCAATCTCTAGGTTATGCCATTGGGAAAAAAATAGGCACTCAAGCTTTTGTTTTGCGTGAATTACTAATTATATCCACCTGCAATTGTGGATATGTATCAATAAGAACACCCAAAACTGGGTTCAGTTGAGCCAATCCCCAATTGCATAATCAAATTGAACTGAAAAATCTATGAAGTGAAATAGTAAAATATGGCTAAGAGATAAGTTTTTTGCTTTTGAGTTTTGGGCCGTGGGGAACAAAAATGACCCAAAAAGTGATTTAACTATGTGGTAAGATTTACCTTTGAAAACATAGCTATCTAAAGCAAAACACTTTATTTTAAGCCTCAAAACACTTTTTTTTGTTGTGGGTTACTTTTTGATAATTGATGAAGGGTGATTTAGCATGACCTAGTAAGAAGGGGATACGTAGGCGCAATCTGCTCGAGGGGTGACAAATCAGCCCAACGAACCCAGTTCGCAACATCGGAGTTCGAGCATTCAGCCACCTTGGCCCAAAAAATCACTTCGGCGTAGAGACACCTCTTCACCCAATCCAATTCGGGACTAAAGAATCGAAGTGCCAGTTCAGAGCTAAAGAGCTGAAACGCCACATAATCGACTCTAAAGGCCTCCCCAATGGACCCCGAATTTCTCGGGATCACGCCGAGACTCGTCCTACCTCCGCCTGAATCGGAGGTAAGCGATAAACCTTATCAACGCATTGCTCTCCTTCAAAGACGGAATAGACCTTATCCACACAGCCCGGAGATCCCGAAGCTCTTTCGTAAGGCCCACGACTACTCCATTATATAAGGACATGAAACCCCAAGGCAAAGGTACGCATGATTATTTACTCACTAGCATTCAAGCATTCAGATATTCAACTCGCACCCATAGTATAGTACTGACTTAAGCATCGGAGCGACCTCACTGGGTTAGCCACCCCGGGTTCTCTGATTCATTGTTCTGCAGTTTGGTCTAGCTCGCCGCGCAACCAGAGTTCGGATCGCCCTCCAGCTAGGAGCATTAAGATCGTGCACCATCAGGAACTATGCTAGACACCTTGACCCGCTATTTTTCCAAAAAAAAACTTTTTTGGCCTCCATTTGTAATTTTTAATATTTTTATAAATAAAAAGAATTAAAAAAACCGAATTAAAAACATAAACTAAATATAAAAATATATATAACTTATCTAAAGTATATTTATACACACACACACATATATACACTTAATACATATATGATGATGTGGCATGGTCTGAACCGTTTGACCGGCCCGATCGAACCGGTGACTCATGACCCAAAGGCAAAAACAGTTCAGCCTCCGTATTGATTTTTAAAACATTGGTTTAGCTACACCACTCCTCCATGTGTAAGTTGTCAATGGATCAATTTTGGAACCCCATCCAAATCAACATCAATTTGGACACATTGGACAGACAAATAAAACATTGAACTAGACCAGCTCAGACTTAATGGTCCAAAGTATTTATTGGATTGGATTGGACCTGATTCAATTAGACCAATCCAAAATGTCTAAAGTATTCATCGAATTGAATTGGACCTGATCCATCTATAATGAACTCAATTTAATTGCCTAGGTTGAGTATTTCTCTTCCTCCAGCTAATTTTGTATTATTTTTTTCTTAAGGATCAGTTTGGAAAGAGTACAAATGAAAATATGTATTGTGCAAATACATACAAAATAATGCAAAGTATAAGGTTTTGCACTCTACATATTTGCATTTGTACTCCTTCCAAACTGAGCCTAAGGTTGTGTTTGGAAATAATGCAAATAGAGTGTAAATCCCGATTCAGGGTAAATTTGCACTCTGATTCACTTATGCCTGTGTTTGGCAACATTACATTTATGCACTGACAAATGACAAAAAAGACATTTTTCAATGCATATTTACATTGATAATAAGATGTAAAAGTACAAGAATAAAAAAGAAGTAAATTTGTTTTCAAGAGTGGCTTTTGATAAGAAAAAGGCATATGCTTTATCCGAATTCATGTTTTGCATTCATTCACAGCTAAAAGTTTATCTAGTAAGAAGGTAAATTTGTCACTGCAAAACTTACTGAACTTTACAAGTTATATGGACTGTTTTACACTCTACATATTTGCATCCACACTTATTTGTATCGTTTCCATACGCAGCCAAATATGTTTTTATTGATCCTTGCTTCTATCACCAGAACACCTAAGTAATGATCTTTTTGCTTATCTATGATTTTATGGGAATTTTTGAAACCCTCGAGATCATTCTCTATAGACATTTTAAGAAAACATTAGAGATGATTTGTCAAAGTCTGGTTTTTTTGGTCGGATGATGGCACATATTTCTCCATGTTAGGAGTTGGGACGCAATTAGATATGAGACAACACTTTGGAGTTTGGAGCATAGTTTGTTAATGGCCAGAGGGAGTCCAGATTTCCTTCCCACGAGAACTCTACCCACGTTTGCCCACATAACATCGCAGCCACACATGGAGAATATGTCATCCTCTTGCATAATATTATGTAGGGAAGATGTTCCCAATTCATAGGGGTAGTGTGTTGTGAGTAGACGTGGGCAGAGTTCTCATGGGCAGGAGATCCCACGTCGACCTAAGGACTTTGATTTTGGGCTTAATTTGCTTGGGCCACTTGGCCGTTCTCTCCTGTGAGGTGAAATGGACAGGTGGAGAAAGTGATAAACAATACAATGCATAACTCATGTGGGCCACCTACAAAGCTAATGTAGGCAGCCCACCAATGATATTGAATTTCATTTGTCAACATCATTACTAGAGGTGTAAATCGGGACGTGCCGCCCGCGACCTAGCACAACCCAGCCCGATACGACAGCACACAAGCCATGCCAGGCCCGACATGACTATGTGGAACCTGTTGGGCTAGGGATTCGGAGTCCATAGGCCGGCACGACCCACGGGCCTGTAGCGCGGCTTGCCCGAGAACTAGCCATTCGGGACGCCACCCCAATGACTAGTTTCAGCTTTTGGGGGTGATTTTTCTTACAAGAATACCCCCCCAACAGCTATATTACAGCTATATAGGGATATTTATGTATTTTGGTTATGGGGGAGAAAAATGACACAAATGACCCCCCACCAGCTATATACCAAGTAGTTTAGGGGGCATTTTGTGTAAAGTGATAAATAACTTTACAATGGCCAAAATACCCCTCTGAACAACTAAAAAACAACTGGTTTTTAGGGTGTTTTGGGCAATTGAATTATTTTCAATTCCTACATATAAATAACCCTATCCTCCACCATTCTCATCACACCAATTCAACAATTCTCTTAATCTCTTCTTTAATACATTCTCTAAAGTTTGAAGTGATCTAAACTCTGATTGATTGATTCTCCAATTCTTAACTTTATTGAAGTTTCAATAAGAAGAAGGCTTGCTCTGCTCAACCATCTCATTTTTCTCAAGTTAATTAGCAATTTGGGAGGCTTGAACTCTTGGAGTTGAAAGTCTTCAACCGTTGAAATCAAGTCGGTAACCCAAACCAACAATCCGGGTAAGTTCAATTAAATTAATTTTTATTTTTTAGAATTAAAAAAATGGTTGGCACCTCCCAAAACTGATTCCCCAACATGTTCAATGTTGACGATATTCAGTCGTATCATGATGGTGTTAGCACCGATATAGATGTTATTGATATTCATGGAACTTCCACCCCTAGTATTGATACCGGGGGAAAGAAAAAATAAGGTCATTAAGTTGGTTAGCCTAGTTTGAAAAATATTTAAAGTAGAAGAGGTTGAAGGGAAGGGAAAAAGAGTTGGACAGGCAGGAGTGTTTGGCACATTTGGGCAGATATTTGCTCAACCATGAGAAAGAATAAGAAGAAGAATAAGAGAGAGAAACAACATAGACACAAATTGGGCGGGAGGTTTGGTACATTTAAATATTCTCAAGAAATAATGAGGCAAAAATTAGCAAAATATATTGTACATGTTGAACAACCATTTTTGTTAATAGAAGATACTAACCTTAAAAAATGGTTACGTAATTCTATAAATCCCCAATATAAAAAAATTTCTAGGAATATTATTAGATCAAATTCTTTAAAATTTTTTTATTCATATAGACAAAATGTTATTTATATATTATCAAATCTTAATTCTAAAGTTGCAATTGCTTCTAATGTTTGGACTTCTAAATTTAACATAAGTTATATTTGTGTTACTTGTCATTTTATTGATGAAAAATGACTTTTAAATAAAAGAATTTTAAGTTTTACTAGGCTTAAATGGCTACATACTGGCCCAGCTATTGCTGTAAGCAGTTTAAATAGTTTACATTCTTATGGAATTGAGAATAAATTATAATCTATTAGTTTTGATAATGGTAGTAATAGTGATTCTGCAATAAATATTTTAAAATGTCAATTAAAACCATGTTTAAATGATAAATTATTTAATATCAATATGTGTATGCCACATCTTAAATTTATGTATTCATGTTGCTTTAAATATTATTTCTATTGATATTTCAAAATACCCCTGACCAAATGCCCAAAAATACCCTTAACCAAATTTCCAAAATACACTTTAGCAGATTACCAGAATTACCCTCGCACCAAATTCCCAAAATACCCTTAACCAAATTACCAAAATGCCCTTTGAACTAATTACCAAAATACCCCTAACATAATTTCCAAATTACCCCAAGTTTTTAAAAATACCAAATTTCCCTTCTTCCAAATTACCAGAATACCCCTCTAAGCCTCCCCCTTTCGACCACAAATTACCATTTTGCCTCTAAACCAAAATTACCCAAATCACCTGTATTACCTAAATTCCCCTCTAAGCTTGTATTACCCTCCTCCAAACCCTAACTTGTCAAATCAGCCCCTTCATTTTACTTAAGGTTTATTAGTCCCCTGGCTTCCCATTATAAGAAGAGGCTTGAGTGAGTGAGAAGGAGAGCTCTTGGTGGTTCTCCTTTAGAGAGGCTACCGAACTGAGAGCAAAGTGTGTGAAGAGAGAGAGAGAGAGGGAGGGAGGGAGGGAGGTCGAACGAAGAGTTTAAGAGAGAGAGGTTGGGTGGATGGGTGAAATTTGAGGAGAAAGACGAAAGTCTCTAGTTCAGAAGGGAGAAGAAAGACGAGAGAAAGGGTTCATGTGAAAGCGGGGTCTAAGAGTGATATGCATAGACAGATTAAGGTGGGAGCTGTTTAGAGTAAGAGAAAATCATCGTTAAAGAGCCCATCCCCTCGAAGAACATCTCTCGAGTATCCTCTTGATGCTTCAGCTCCTACTAGGTTCATATTCGAAATTCTAGTTAAAGTATCTCCTATGGAATGTTGATTCCAAGAACAATCCCTAAGGATATCCTACAGCATCGCCATTTTTATAGAGGCCACAAGAGGTAAAAATCGATTACCTCACATCCCTAAGTTCCTCTCCAAATCCCATCCGATATCTAGAAATTAATCTTGGCTTTGTTTCAGTTAGCTATCTATTTGTTTCTTTTTTTCTTTTCTTTTCTTTTTCTTTTTCTTTGTCTCTGTAATTTTCCTTTGATAATTTAGTCTGGTTGCTTTCAACTTTGAAATCAAGAACCATTGGGTCCTCCGACATCTGAGAGGTTGTAATCTTTTCTTTTACCCTTCTGCCCGATCAGCTAAGTACGATGGTGGTGGTTCTGATAGAAAAGGGATGAGGATTCATCCTTATGCTCTTTCGAATTGGAGGAGAACCTGGGCTCTTAGTCTAAATTAAAAATAAGAAGGGAAATCTGGTATTCACACTGAAAAGAGGGGTGCCTAACCCCTTCCCTCTTTCTCTCTCTCTCTCTCTCTCAACTTACCTAGAATAGCCTTTTCTAGGTCGGATGGTATGGAGTCACTATCAATCCCAAAATATTTTACCAAATGCAATTTCGGGAGATCCATCACTCCCCAATATCTTATTCTGATGGGTGGCAACTCCATATATTCGGCCATGAAGTGAACAACCGAAGGGATATTTTCCCGATGTTCACAATTATATATATATATATATATTAAAAGTTCTGGAGCAAGAAAACAAGAATTTAAATATTTATGTCAAAATTATGGTTTAAAATATAAACATTTTATATTAGATGTTAAACATGAATGGAATTCCACCTGTGCTATGTTAGAAAGTTGTATTTCTCATAAACAAATTCTTACTTGCTTTTATAATGCAAAAATGCCTAATGATATTATATTTGAGGAAGACTAGGAGATGGCAATTTTTTAAAACATTTTTATGATGCAACTAATGAATTATCTGGTATTTATTATCCAACTAATTGTAATTTACCTTATCAATTAATGGTGATTAATGATTGTTTTGCAAAATATACAAATAATCCACAATTTAAAAGTATTGTTGAAATAACGGAAAACAAATTTAAAAAGAAAATATTGAGAGAACATTTCTCCTCTTTATTGCTTAACTACAATATTAGATCCTAGGATCTCGAAAGATGGTTTAGATATTTTACTTGAAACATATATATTGTGAAAATATGAATATTGAATTTGGAAATAGAAATAATTTATTATTTGAAATGTACAATTTATATGAATCTGAAATAACAGGAAATAATTCTACAAGTTGTACAATTACATCTTCTACTTCTGAATTTGAACTTGAGTCCAATAATAGAAAAGAACTTTTTATTTAACAAGTATAAGGTAGAAATTTGTTACCTCAACAACAATTTCATTTACTGAACTCACTACAAGAAAATTGACCATTGGCAACAGTCACTTGATTACAATTGGAAAAGAAGGTTGTTGCCAAAATCTCAATTATAGCAACAATTAATTATTCAACTGTTGTTAGAACCACGAATTGGCAACAGATTTTATCCAACTGTTGCTGATTATTTATCAATTGTTGCAAATAACACGTTTTTAACAACAATTGATTATCATTATTGCTAAAGCCATGTATTGATAACAGGACTTATCCGGTGGTTGCTAATTGTGAGTCGACCGTTGCTAATTGCTTTGAACATGAAGTAACATTCCTTGAAAGTTATGACAATGCCCCTAGCCAAGGTCAAACCACGTGTCGTTATATGGTGAAGTGACCAATCATACCCACATCAATTTTATATATACAGATATGCCTTCTCATCTCAAATTTCCATTCATCCATAACATATCACATGGGCCTAATATATGACATCTACCAGAATGTCTAGCAAGAGGGCCATCCCCACAATATATATATATATATATATATATATATATATTTTGCTAATAGTTTGATCTGTCACTTGTCTAAGACTCGCATCGAGACCTCCATAAAACAAAGGAAAATTTTGCAAGGGCGGAGAGTATAAAGTGAATTCACGACTTCGAGAGATGTTGTAATGTAATGGGAACATATTTTATTGACAACTTCGACAAATGTTCCAGATGTGCATGTGGGGTGCCCTTTGTGGGGCACATATGTGATTTCGTATAAAGTATAAACTTAACCCAGGATGGGACAATCGTTGCTCATAACCAATCAAGCCAACAGCAGACATCACTACTTTCCCAATCCAATCAAATAAGAAGAAACCAGCGGAGGAAATTAAAAAAAAAAAAAAAGTTTATAATTTATTTCCAATACTACTGGTGCATTGATAGGGATGTAAAAGGATTAAATTCAAACCGAATCAGGCATTATTCTAATTTGAATTCGATTAGAAAATCTGAGGCTCTCAGCAGCACATGGAACTCGTCCCAGAATCGTGAAGGGATCACAGGCTGAGGCTCTCAGCAGCTCAGCCCTGATGCTGTTGATGGTGCCCCTCCCTTCCCTTGCTGCTCAACTTAAATGGGGCCCGTTCCGTGTTGGATGGAGCTTTGAAAATTGAAATCCCCCTCATCTATTACCATTAATTCCAGCACCTAGCTCTCCCCTCCTTTTCCCTTAAATGCCCAATTCCTCGTCTTCTGTTCGAACTGTCCCTGTGAGGACAATGGCTACCGCTAACGGTCATGGCACAGCTCTGGTTTTGCCTCCCAATAAATGCCACAAGAAATTACCTACTTTCTCAAATCCAATCACAACCAAGATTTGAATGAAAACCACACCACATTAAACACTTCATTTAATAAAAACATAAAAAAATTGAAGAATAAAACCCAAAGAAAAAATATCTGGCCATGCAGTATCAATGAAGCATGTAAGAATCATAAAGTACAACAATCTGGCCTCTGAAAACATCTAACATGTACATATTTTGTGACAAGGCCATCAGAACCTCTGGGATGTCCGACTTACTTTCTGATATTTCATTAATAACATTGCTTATGTTATTCATAAAAAATAAAACTTACATGAAAATGATGTCATATCCGAATGGCCCTTTGCCATAGGACTTCCAGGTGAGGAATTGTTAGCTTCCCCTGCAACATGATTGAAATATAACTAAGTCAATCTCTTGATAAGCCATATATTGGCATCAATCATTTGCAATCAAGAAGTACCACAGCTGACAAGTAAGAGGGCGAGTTTGCTAGCTTTTTCATTAGCTGAAAGCCTATGAATCTCAGGGAGAATAATATTTGCTTCAGTTTGACTCCTCCCCTCAAATTCATTTGAAGCAACTATAAGACAGGTTCACACAAGGCAAAAGACTGCAGAATTCTGTTGCTAAACACAGGGATATAAAGCACAAAAAATGAGCAATATAGAATAAAAAAACATATGGATATTGACAAAACCGATTGGGGTTAAGTGCAAATATTGACAAGGTCATACCCCTGCAACTGCAATGTCAGAAATGGGCCTAGCCAAAATGATGTATAGAGGTAAAAGATTGTGTGCTTGCACTCCATTCACAGCACCAGATAGGGACACGGTCATCTGAATCCTATAAATTTAGCTGTAGCAAACCAATCAGTGTATATACACTTAACAAAGATTATTGATGAAACCAACTGAAAAAAAAATGTATAAAATCATTAGTAGCAGCAGCAGCAACAAAATAAGAAAAATAATAACTTTAAATTCAATAGCATTCAAAAAAAAAGGAACTTTAGTTTAAACCAAATCAGGAAGTAGGTCCTTTCTAATGCAGTTATGACCTTGCCAAGGAAATCAAGCCAACACTAGTTACTGTACACTAGCGCTAATAAAGTGCTAAACAATGGCATTATACCCATAATTTGAAGAAGAAAACATTTCATGAATTTACACTTTATAGTTAGGAGTATAGCCACATAAATAGACTCAAGATGTGGGAGGTAGAATGGTAGATGACAATAAATGGAGTAGGGGATTGATTGTGGAATTTATAAGAACTTGTATACATCAGTCAAGGTATGGGGTGGATTTTCTCTTTTTTTCTCTTAATTTATCTCTGGTCATTTTCCTTGTATCATTCTCTTTTTCTTTCTAATAAATTTTTATTTCATTACCAAAAAAATATTTACATCATACTGTTACAAATTCCCCCTTGGAGAGTCATCCCACCAATGGAGATAATCCCTATTAACTCCTTGTCTTGCCAACATATCACCCACACCATTTTCTAGCCTATGTTTCTCCATGTAAAAGTTGTACTTATCTCCTTGACCAGCTTCTTTATCTCCCTCAATGCATGCCTGTATAATCATGGACGTTCACAGTTCTTGCACCATACCACCATTACTTCACCATTGCACCATTACTTTGTGCCTCTTAAGGAGGCGCAATGAAGATGAGGAGGAAGAGGAAGAAGAAGAAGAAAGGAACTCTTTTTTTTAGAAAAGGTAAAGTATCATTGTATTAGTATGAACAAAAGAATGTACAGCAAGATGATGTACTAAGAAAACAAGAAAAAACTGTTCCCTTTAACCTTGATCCTCACCCTGCTTTACAGAAAGGTTATCCTGTGTAATAAAATAAAAAAAAAAAAGATTCAAAACCTACACCCTTAAAAAACCTCTGACTAGACAACCAAGAGAACATCTTTCCCACAATTTTCTGAAAAATGAAATTAGCAGAACTTATCTTGCTCTTGAAGACTCATGCATTTCCTTCTTGCCAAAGAAAAAACTCTTTGACTCAGCCCTTCCACACTCCAACCCTTTACAAAGTCCTCTACTGATCCTGGGCAGCAACTTTTGTACTTCAAACAAATGTGAAATTTTGTTCCAAATCCCAGAGTAGTAGCTGCAGTGCAGTAAAAGGTGATCGATCCACTGCTTCCAGTTGTCTTTCACATAAAACATAGCTAGCTGAATTCAGTACAGAACCTTTCTGGGTAAGGTTGTCCCTTGTAAGTATTCTATTGAGATAGGCCATCCAAACAAAGAAAGATATTTTTAAAGGCACATTTTTACCCCAGATGATGTGAGTTGGGACTTAATGTCCTTCTGCACTGCCAAAGGACTTGTGAAAATATTTAACTGTGAATTTTCCAGTCTTCCCACTTCTAGATTCTTCTGTCAGACCTGGCAGACTTCACCTGTGTACTATATAAGAGGTGCAGTAGTTCCATCATTCACCTGTGCACTATATAAGTCCTAGTTGATCAAGGAATCCATCTGAACAAGCCTTCCAGAACATTAGCCAATATTCTTGCCTCCCACAGGACAAAATTGGGTTCTGAATCCATTCCAATACCATCTAAAAATCACCTTCTACCAATTCCATCTTATTAAATAGGCCAGCTTGAGACTTTGGAGCATTAGCAACTAAACTTTAGGGGAATTTCCTTCTTTAGTCAGCCCCAAGAAGCTAAATAGGTCATCACCTTTGTGGTCTCTAAAAATCCCTCCTATACCTGATGGGCACAGGATGCAGGTTAGACAACACTCTCATCAAATTTGGCTCAATCACGCCACAGCTCAAGGCAACCCAGTCTTCCATTATATTCTGCCTCGGATGAGCATACCTAGCAATTGCTCTCTGCTATTGAGTAGGTGAGTGCTATGACAGTAGCAAGAATATCTTTGACTAGGTAGTTTTAGCAAATATCATAATCTGTGTGTGAAGAGATGCATGTATTTAAGAAAACTTGTTTGTTCCTATTTATATGATTCTCTTAACCAGAAAGTTACATTTTCTGGTAGTCGGCTATGCCTGCACCTTTATGGCACTCATGTTTTGCATTAGCTGACACTTACTGAATAAATCTATCGAATTGGTACTTAAAATATCACTTTCCTTATCTTGCGAAAACAAATATGCACTTGATGTTCTAATGCTTGATGCAACTGAATTTTGACATATTTTCAGGTTTTTAACTAAAGATGGTCTAATGATATTGGCTACCTGGTTGAGCCAAGCAGCTCTGGAGGAGCAAACCACTGTCCTTTCTCAACCCAAGGGGTTATAAACTCACGGAAAACACCAAAGACACTTCTAAATATCCACTTCAGCCTAAAAAACACAAAAACAATGCTAGCATGTTCACACAAGCCTCACGTGAGTGAGCTGTCCATCAATTACAGAACTACAACTTCCTATCAGTACACATGAAATCGGTACAGTAAGCAACAACAGTAATGGGTTGTAACAAGGATCATTTCTCAAGCATCAAAACTTCAGATGATTAAGCTTAATGGCTGAAGGGGGGGCAATATGCACTTTCAAAGTTCAGATTTTGGACTAAGAACCATGGAAATTTGTTTGTGAATCACAGAATCCATGATTAAATCCGGAAAACATAACCAAAGGCTCTCAAAATGGAAGTCACCATACAAGAGTCAAACATATTGGATTAGAGTCATAAACCAATGGTCAACAAACAGATTTTCATTTTTTCTAAGGAAGGAAGGAAGAAATACAAACTTGGGCCTGACGTGAACTATCAAAGATCAGTCATACTTTTCCACCAACCATAGATGACCTCAAGGCATAGGACTGCTCTTGTAGAATCTACAACATCTTTACTTAACAATAGAGAAGAATTGTGGTCAAGAACGAGAAAGGAAGTTTACCAGGAACTTGGTATTTATCTAAACTGTGAGGAAGTTTTATCACTTGTCTGTTTATGGGTAAAGAGGAGTGGTTTCAATTGTAATCTCCAAGTTGAAGTCTTATATGTGCTTGATGATATTTATACATCTTCAGCGGACCATATAGCCTGCAATTTGAAAATGATAAGCCACTGTGGTGGCAGCAAATGGAGTTGAACATTTTATTTCAAAAAGCTAGGATCATGTCAGCATTTGTTTGTGCCACTTCATAATAGAGTGAACTCTGATTTGTTTGAAACTCTAACAATATAACAACAAGGGCACTAGACATCCCATTTACTGTTGTCTTGGACACTTTCACTTGTTAGAGACATGCATGCCTACTCTAGAGACGGAGTTTGGAATTTCATGGTTGATTTTTCTGAACTCAATTAAGGATGCTGCAAAACTTTCCATTAGAAGTCTTCCTTGATAAAGAACTTGGTAATTAAAATATCTAGTAGTATGATCATTCAAAACATGAAACTACCATTGAAAGGAAATAATAAGCAGAAAACTCACATAGCATCTAATATTGATTTTTTGAGGTCTTGATTTATTACCTGTTGTGAAATTCAATTGGAAACAACACCTCTGTGTGTACAGGGTAAAGCTGCGTACGTTTGTCCTTCCCCAGACCCTGCCTCGAGCACTTGGTTGCCCACCTGTTGTGAAATTCAAACATTTTTTGAGAACTACTTCATTTTTTTTTTAAATTCTCGTGATGAGGATATACTTTTATTCTGGAAGAAAGTCATCTTCTTGTTGTTTTCCAGTTCATCATTTTAAGTTCCTAGCATGGCCTTTTGAAACTCATTTATCTGATTTGAAGATCAGACATATCGAACAGGGCAAGGGTTCTGTTATCAAGATGGAGCAAACTATTTGTGAGAAGCCAAGCTCTGAAGAAACCAGCTTCCGTGATCTCCAATGGTGAAGCACACGAAGAAATAATCAGGAATCAGAGGCATGCAAATCCAGACTTGTGTGTGCATCATCTTATGGCAAATTTCATGCAATGTCCTAGTGACTACTATAAATATAGAATACTAAGGTACTGTCAAAACAAAGCTACGAACTTGGTTAAAGCAACCCGAAGCATTATATAACTTCCTTTGATGATAAGGACTTGGTCAGATGCCTTATTTCGTGAGACTGAAGATGATGATGGAGAGACAACTTAAGACGCTTAAAGGAGAAACAGAGAGCAGCCTCGACACAGAAGAGGCGAGGATGGATTATGCTAGATGAAAAACCCCTTTCATCGCTTGACCTCCTATCCAAAAAAAAAAAAATCAGATTGGGAGAAAACCCTATTACCCACTATCCACATAATACAACTATTATCCCAAAATGCAACTACTAGATAAGGAAAAACGATTAATAGGAAGAGGATTAGAGCATTACCTTCTCTTGGTCGAACAAAATGCACGATCGTTGTCGGAGCTTTCTCAATCAATCTATCCATGATTGAAACCTTCTCTTGCAATGTTGATTTTTCACTCGTTCTGAGGCGTTTTCTCGGTCAATTGTTCTCAACCGAAAAATGATTGCATGGAGCCTTCACAAACGCGGGATGTAGCAGAGGTCTTCTTCCCTACTTGGGAATTTGGATTCCTTGGATTCCCTCTCTCACATTTCGCTTTAATCGATACATCAATTCGAAAACAATGGTATTTGGAACGGTTCAGGTCCGGTTTAAAGTTATAAATGACAGAAGGACCGCCATCTAATATGCGTGGGTAAATTTTCTGGTTTTTTAGGTGGCGGTCTCGTTGAAAGCGCCACCTTAGCATTCTTTGGAGAGGCGGTCTTAAGGGCCGCCGGCTCTAAACCGCCGCCTTAGACTACTTTTCTTGTAGTGCATCATCTGCCAATACAACATTCGATGAGAGGTTAATGGGACCTAATTCCTATAAATTGCTCCTAATCAGTCATCATCTAATTAGTCTCTGTGATTCTGATTTCTCTCTCGTTTTTCAAAAATATACGTAGGTATGATGTTGCTCTTGACATAAACACACAAGGACCTCGTCGAATTATGAACTTCGCGAAGAAATGCAAGAAACTAAAGCTCTTTCTGCAGGTATCAACCGGTAAGTAGCTAGTACGTAACACGTTAACAATAAGCTCA